TCACAATACTTATCCATCGAATAACTTGATCCCGCCAGATTTTGTTAACTCCGGTTTGAATCTTGGTAGATATCAAGTTTTTTTAATTAAAAGATAAAACAAATATAGTAAATTTATTAGATACTGAAATCATTAGGCCTAAATATTTTAAGCTTACTTATGATTGATTGATTTAATTTTATAAATCTTTTTTTTTATTAACATGCTTTATTTATTAAATTTATATATATTGCGAATATTATGTAAATATTTTAGTTTTATATATATATATATAATTATTATTACAAGTATAATTGTATTATTAAAATATTTTTTGATACTATAAAATTTATAACATTATGATTTACTAATAACATTATTATATTACTAACATTATTACATTATAACATTTTTAATTATATGTCAAAAGTAACTTATAATATTATGACATTATAACATATCAAAAGTCATAATATTTTTGGGTTGTATAATTGGGATTTGGGATTTGGGATTATTTAGGATTTTGGGATTTGAGATTGAGATTTGGGATTGGGATTTTAGAATTTAATGGGATTTAGAATTGGTATAGAATTGGATGTTTAGAATTAAAATTAGGATAGGATGGGATAGGATGGGATTTTAAAATTAAGAGTATGGGTAATAACTATAAATACCTCACTTTAAAAACCCGGGTATTTTACTAGATATAAAATTTATTACCTGTTTTAAGACTCAGATATAATTCAATTTTAATCACAGATATTTTATATGAGATACAGGTATTTTATAACAAAATAATAATATAATAATAACAAATTTATAAAATGAAAAACCTTTATTATTTATTATTGAATATTTTAATTTTGAATTACATTACTATCTTCATTACTTTTATAGTTATTTTTTTTATTTTCATTATTATCATTCCCCGATTCATTTTCATTATCATTATTATCTGATTTATTTTCACTATCAATTTGTTTCTTCTCTTCTTTAATTCCTCTTTTTTGATTAATTATATCTTCTACTTTATGAAAATCAAAGATTAAACAATCTTCTATTTCATCAATAGTATTAGAAACACCTTAATATTTAAATAAAAAATTGATTATATTAAGATCAATTGCATCCAAACTTTCCTTTACTCATTATTCTAATTTAATTATCCGAAATATGGAAACTTTTAAAAATATTACGATAAGTCCTCATCCAAACGATGGATGCTTTTTACGATTTCTTCCAAATGGAGATCTTTTGATGATACAAATGCCAGAAATATATGTATATTCAGAAGCATCCTTAAAAATTCAACCAAATCACCGTGTTTATATACATCAAGATATTATCTTTGGGATAAAAAAGAGTTCAAGATTAGTCGTCTCATTCAAATAAATGAACGAATTTTTTTTACTCTCATCAATGAAATCGTCATATTACAGTTAAACATGAATACGAGGAACATTGAAAATGATTATACTATTCGAGAAATTACTGAAATAATGACCATGGATTCTAAACATTGTAGATAGGAGGGAGTGGTAAATAGTGAAGAAAGTTTATTCACCGTTTTTTTAACAAAGCATTTCAACCAAGATAACATAAATTGGATATATGTATTTTCAATGAAGAATGGACTTCCAATTTCATCAAGTGAACGAATCATTATTTATTTATTAATTTTTTTTTTTATAATTTGACATTTGACTGACAAATAATAATAATGTAGGACAAGTTAACATTCATGATTCAAGGATATAATTTATGAACGTTTCATGGTACTGAAATTTTGATATTATATTCACTTCATGATTACAAAATCAAGTACAAGATTTTAGATCCTTATGACCTTTCATACGAGTGTAAGGGTGAATATGATATTCAAAGTAAAATTCAAAATTACATGATAATCGAAGATTCATCATCGCAATGTAAACTTATGCTTACTATTGAAAATCAAATCAAAATTGTCGACTTTGAAATTCCCGAGGACAAAATCAAAGAGTTATATGACAAGATGAAGGATAGCGATAATCCCTACCTAGTTATTTATTCCAGTTTCAATGATATCAAAAATTCGTATAAAGATAATGCAGAGGAATATTATTGTAATGGGAAAAAACTGAGATAGGAATTGCAGAAACAAAATGATATTTGCGAATGTCAAGTTCATAAGATAGATGAAAAGCAAATCAAACAGAGGATTAACACCAAGTTGCAAGATGATATGTGCGAATTCCAAGTTCATAAGATAGATGAAATGCGAAGCAAGCCGAAAATTAATATTAAGTTGAATTCCAATCATAGTCTTAAAATTTTAAGTAACGATGATATAGTACTTTATAATGGTCAGGAGATTTATATTTTTAGCTTTATTGAAACAACAAATAATATTGTTCCTAGATATTATTATCATGATATTAAAGAATTTCTTAACGTTAAGAGTAAAAGAATTCCAAATCCAAGCATAAAGCATTTAAATTCAATACCTTTTCAGAATGAATTGGATTTAATTAGTCAAATCTTTAGTTTAAGAAAGTATCTCATAGAAATGAGCGATGACATAATTAGTCATGCATTTCATTGAATGGAGAACGAAATGTTAAAAATTTGTTTTAATAAATTATATGCTTTGAATGACCCAAACTTTTATAATAGTTGGGATGCTGAGGCAATATATAACCACAGATGGGTTGCTTTTGGCCGCATTTATTATATTATTTATTGGGTATTTTTTACTATTTATTTGTTCTCTTTTGGAATACTTTCAACCCTACCTTCATCCGATATTTCAGTAGATGCAAGAAATGTTTTATTGTGGATTAGCATTATTTTTGGCTTAATTCTTGCTTTTAATGAATTTAAGCAGTTAATTTGGACTTATCTTAATCATAATTTATTGGAATATTTAAAACATCTATGGAATTGCTAGGTATAAATTTTTTTTTTTACAATTTGAAATATTATAATATCATTAATAAATATAACATTTTTATTTAGATATTTTTGCATATATTTCACCGGTGTGTGCTGCCATCATTTGGTTAAATGATAAAAAAACCTCCATTAACATTGATTTCTTTATCAAATCTATCAATACATTTCAAATTTATCACATTTTTTCGAGCATTTGATTATTTTGGCATTAATTTTACTATAATTTTTGGTGTCGCTAAGAGGATAATGTCTTTCTTATTTCTCTTATGCCTTTTTTTAATTGTTTTTGCACATGCTTTTTGTATTATTTTGACCCCAATTGAAACCTACGATTTGAATGAACCTTCCTATAATGATGATCCAAATAATCCTTGGAATCTTATTACAAAATATCAATCAGTTTCAAATGGCAAAATCAATACTGACACAGCTTTTATTCAACAACCTGATTCTAATTTAAACATGTTTTCCACATACAAAACTTCACTCTTGGCCATGTTTTAGTTTTTAACAGGAGATCCATCAGCACTTGGCTCATGTTCTTATATGGAAAATCAGTTCTTGACACTTCTGACAATTATATTTTCATTCTTGGTTGTAATCTATCTTATGAATTTATTTATTGGGTTGCTTAACTTGGAAATTGAAAAAAATAAAACACATAGTAAGTTTATGCTACGAAAAGCAAGACTTTTGGCTGAAATTGAACTTTATTTCTTGCTTCCCAATCAACGAAGATGGCGACATTGGCTTCCAGATACAATGTAAGTTACTTTACAATTGATAGTATTTTGTGCAATAGGAGCTAATATATTTTACTTTTTTTACATAAACATAATCAGATTCTATGAGGTGCCAATTGA